ATATTGCAATTTATAAACTATGTAAGCTAATTTAATGTCCAATGCATTATTTTAATGCGAGGTTACTATTCATCTTCTTCTTCCTCCTTCTTCATTCTTCCTCCTTCTTCATTCATATGTGAACATGTCAGTAAACTCCAATAACAAAACAAAATCAAACACCCAAAGTTATGGGTCATTTGGATCTATTGTGATAAGAAAGAAAAGGATGAAGTACTGGTGTGAAGAAGAGTGTGTAATGCATAGTGTTACGAATTTGAACAATGTCAATGTTGGGAAAACGTTTCGGGGTTGTAGAAATTATAGAAATCAACTGGAGAAGGGATGCAATTTTTTCAAGTGGGTAGGAGATGAAGTTGTTGATGGAAGGGATTTGAAGATTGAAAGGCAAAGGAAGAAAATATTCAAGTTGAAGAATGAGGTCTTGAGCACAAGAGGAATGTTGAAAAATGCAATTTTATTTGACATTATTAGTTTAGGGTTTAATATAGTTTTTGTAACAATGTATTTGAAATAGACCCATGGGCAATAGAACATGTAATTTGATGTTATGAATGTAAGAATATTTGATTTTGCTTAAATGAAATGAGTTTGAATGTTATAAATTTGTGTTGGATGTTTAAGTACTTCTGTTATTGTATGATATTGTTTGTTTGTAATTTGGGTTGAATGCTATAAATATTGCTTTAACAAAAAATTTGTTTTATAACCTGTTACAGATCTATGATAACATATAGCTGAACAAAATATTTCTTTAACAAGTTGGTATGATATGATGTTGTTGAACAAAATATTTCTTTGACAAGTTTGTATGATATGATATTTCTTTAACAAGTTGAACAAAATATTTCTTTAGCAAAACTGGTCTGTTATGGATGTATTGCTTTAACTGGTATGGTATGATATTGTTTTATAACTATTCTATTCTGCATTATAAAGAATAATTTGATGAATCATGTAAATAACAAGTTGATATTTCTTTAACAAAATGTTATGGATATTGCTTTAACAAAATATGTTGCACTTGTACAAAATATATTGCTTTAACAAAATATTCTGCAAAACGTTACTGATACAAAAAGGCAATATAATAGCATGTGTTCTTGACACTGGTACAGAAAGGGAAGTGATACAAAAGGACATTTATTCTTTGCCACCAATACAATAAAGCCTAAGTTAGTGTTCACAAAAGCCTAAATAAAGTGTTCACATGACATTGAGTTACACAAACATGAAAAATCAAAAGTGGATCAAGTTGCTTCAAGTTGAGTTGGTGCAGGAAGACTTGAATTAGGCTGACTTGGTGTAGGAAGACTTGCATTAGGCTGACTTGGTGTAGGAAGACTTGCATTAGGCTGAGATGCCTCAGGTTGAGTTGGACCAGACTGGCTTGGTTCAGGTTGAGTGGTCTGACTTGAGCCTGAATGTTTGCAAGTTGCTTTGTTGTGCCCCATCATATGGCATCTACTGCACTTGATGCCAAAATTAGCTCTTTTTAGCCGAGTGTCATCCCTTATGCTCTCCGAGGCATCACTAATCCTCTTCTTCTTTGGCCTCCCTGGTTACCTTTTGATTGGTGGTGGTTGTAACTCAACATAACTTTTTTTCTCCCAAAGTGATTCTCCATTGACTGGAAAAATGACAGATGCATAACATGCTTCATACATTTGTTTCTTGTAGCATCCAGACACATAACTTTCAATCTCTAATTTTTGAGATTTTATGCAAGATATAGCATGGCAGCATGGTAAACCTGTCAACATCCATTTTCTACAAGAACACACCTTGGTTGACAGATTCATAGTGTATTTTTATCCATTATATGAGATGTGTCTCACCTCATAGTCATACTCTCCTGCACGTCTGTTACATAGACAAGAACTCGGCCACACAACATAATCAAGAAATGTAAAACAAACATTTAGATGAACAAATACCTCACAATCTAACTGTTTGTTTTTTCAGATTCTTTTGCAATCTTTTTCTTGATATTGGGTAGAATATCACCTTCAAACTTGACAACTTTTTGTCTATTTGAATCCCATCTTTGTATGAGATATACTCTGATTTCTTCAATCATTGTTATGATTGGCTTGGACCTAGTTGTCACAAACACCAAGTTGAAAGCCTCTGACATGTTGTTCACTAGGGTATCACACAAAGAATTATTTTTGAAGAAAGCTTTGGTCCAAAACCTAGCAGGTAACTTTATTAAATGCTTGAATGCTTCTACGTTAACAGCCTTCATTTCCAACATTGCTTTTTCAAAAGCATTTGTGTAACTGGCTATAGCAGCTTTCCACATTAACTCCTTGAGTTTAATTTCTGGGAATTTCTTCCTAAAATTGTTGTATAGATGTCTTCATTTACAACATTTATTAAGGTATATCAGTATGCAGTAGTTATTAAGGTATATACCTAACACAAAATCTTTGGTCCACTTGTGGCAGCAGTTCATCTAGAGCTGGTAACAATCCCTATATATAAGTATGCATCATCCATCTTTTTAGGCAGTTTGAATGTTTGCCAATTTGCCTTTCCAACACATTCATCCTCACTAATATACTCTTCTAAGCCATCCTCACTATTCTCGTCCTCCGTGTCACTCAAACCCTTCAAATTTAAAGTTGGTTGTTCTTCCTCTACATCGCTTTCATTCAAAAGACTTCTTTCACCAGATGCTTCACACACATTAACCTTCTTACACGGCCTTCCAACTTTTCCTTTCCCCTTTGGTTTACCCTTTCCTTTACCATTTCCTTTACCCTTCCCTTTCCACTCTCCTTTACCCTTCCATTTACCTTTCACTTTACCATTTCCTTTATCCTTCCCTTTTTCCTCAACCACCCCATCTTCTGACACTTCATATTCATTTTCTGGTATCTCCTCATTCATAACCACATCATCATCAGAATCTTCAAAATTGATCTCCAATGCACTATTATCACTGCCACCATATTCTACCTCTATTCCCTCTATGTTACTATTCTCATTCTCTTCTACTTCACAGTATCCATCATTGTTGCAATTCAGTCCCTCTTCTCCATCATTGTTACAATTAAGTCCGTTATATCCATCATTGGTACAATCCAGTCCTTCTTCTCCATCATTGTTACCGTTTATTCTCTCATCTCCCTCACCTTGTTCAACTACAGTGGTCTCCTCATCATGCTCAATTTCAGTGGCCCCTCACCATGTTCACTTTCAGTGGTCCCCTTGTCTCTAACTTCCAAATCAGGTAAAACATTTGTGGTCCCCTTGCCTCCAACTTCCACATCATGTAAAACATTTGTGGTCCCCTGGTCTCCAACTTCCACATCATGTACAACATCTATGGTCCCCTTGTTATTTATTTCTCCTCCTTCCACATTAATTTCCACATCATGTACCTCATTCATAACACTCTCAAAGTCAGTTTCCAACTTTTCAGTGTTGTCTCCTACATTTTCAACACAAGTGGTCCCCTCATCAATGTTCTCACCTAACTCAGTTTTAGTGGCACCTATTTCCTTAACCCTATACTCAAGTGATAGTATTGGTTCCTCAATTACCTTAGGTTGTAGGATAGGATGCATAACATTTAAATGAACTTCCCCAGTCAACACAACAATTGTATGCATCCTCCTAGTCTCACTGTCATCTTTCAACTCCACAATGCTATTACACTCCATTTGATCATAATACCAAAGACTCTCTATAGTTGGATAACCTAAGTCCTTTAACTCACATAACACTTCGAAGTAACTCCAAAAATCAGCCTCAACATCCCACGTTTCCTCTAACCCATTATAACCTAGTTTCGTTAACTCAGCAAATTCACCCTCATGATGAACAACACATTTAAAACAAATCTCCATGACCTAGATACAACAACTATATAAAACCCTAAATGAGAACTAAATAAATGAAGGGGAAGAATATAAAGTTTGCATCATTCGTACCTCAAAACAGATGATGGACCTTGTTCCTCTTTCACGCAGAATCAAACAATACACAAACCCTATAATGAAGAACAACAAAATGTGATTCAAAGCTAACGAAGATGAAAAATCCTAAATGAAAACTAAAATAAATGAAGGGGAAGAATATAAAGTTTGCATCATTCGTACCTCATAACAGATGATGGACCTTGTTTCTCTTTCACTCAAAATCAAATAATACATAAACCCTAAAATGAAGAAGAACAAAAATGAGAGATTCCAAATTGAAGATGAAGAATGATGAACGAACGAAAATGTATGATAACCATATCTTGACAAACGAAAATGAAGAGTGACGATAGCCACACGAACGAAGATGAAGATGAATGCTAATGGTTGTTTCGTTAGGGTTTCCAGCAAATAGATAAAATGAAACGTTGAAAATGAAGTAAAAAGGGATAAAATGAAACGTTGAAGATTCTGATGTTTTTTTAATCAAAATGTCAAACCATAAATCCATCTCACGTTAAGAAAGTCAGCTGGAATGTCACCCTAATAACAACTAACAAAAATAAACATATTTTATCAGAGATGATTACATTGGCTAACGAAATCACAATTAAAAAACCTGACACTAACGTTATTACATAACAGACTAAACTGAAAGCACAAATTAAATTATGGGACCAAAGAGTACATTAAGTTATTAATTTTATATTAATTAAAATAAAGTAAATTAAATATATTAATTATTTAATAAATTATAAAAGTTATATAGAATACACGTTTTCGGTATGCTAATTTAAAAATAATATTCTTCATAATATATTCAGTAAAAAAATGGTTTAATTTTTTGTACTTCAATTAAATTATGTAATTAATTAAACTTGTTTGACTAAGATGTAATGTAATTAATCAATTGAAACCAAAATTATACGTATAATCCTCCGCTCAACAGGATCTGTGAACTTTGCTTCCTTCTTCATCTTCCTGGGCATTGAATTCATGATGCAGATTTGAATAAAACAGAAACTCACTCAAAAACGAACCAGAAACAATCAAAACTCTGAGTTTGCAACAATGGCGGATCCGAAGAACGAAGGTTTCCTCACCTACGCTTATCTTCTTCTCTACATTGCTCTCTCCAGCGGTCAAATCTTCTTCAATAAAGTTAGTTATCATTCTTGTTGATTTTGTATGCTATGCTTGTTTTCCGTTAATACGCGTGAAATTGGACGGTTAGAAAGTATAACGTGTTTCGAAAAAGGTTCCGTGTTGATTTGTAAGGTAGGATTCGATTTTGTTTTTGTTAGGTTAGGTTGAATTTTGGTAAGGCTTGTATTTTTGATTGGAATCTGATATTGTGTTAAATGAATTGAGGATTTGTAAGTTGTTAGCAGTAGTTGACCTTTTTTTTTTTGATTGTCATGTGAATGTTTTCTGAAATAGGATTGAGTCTAAGAGAATTGAAGTGATTAAACAGTTTTTTCAATGCAATTTTATTGTTTTTATTGTGCGTGTGTGTGACTGTGGATGGTGGAATGCTAGTGGTAATAGCTGAGTACCCTGCGTTAGTGCTTGTTGTTTAGATTTTTATGGTTTGGCTGTCTTTTGAGAGATCTTTGGAAGTGTTGCTGTGGTCTATTTTGCTTAAGAATTATGCTTGATTTGAGAAATGATCTGTGTAGCACCGCCGACACCTCTGAAAAAAGGTGCGTCCGTGTCAGAGTCCTTGTTGTGTTTCCGGTGTCTGTGCTTTATGGGATATGAATGATGAGGACAATGTGAACATGTGTTGTTGTATATCTGGTGCATTTATTTATTTGTTTGGCTGTCTTTAGAGCGATCCTTGGAAGGGTTATTGTGTCCTGTTTAGTTCTAGGTTTATGCTTGATCTGAGAAATGAGGAGAAAATGCTAACTATCGCACCCATGTTATGTATCTGATTGATTTTGTTTTAAATGTTGTTTCCTGCAGTGGGTTTTATCCTCTAAGGAAATTAACTTTCCTTATCCTTTGGCGTTGACTCTACTTCACATGGTCTTCTCCTCTGTTGTGTGTTTTGTATTAACCAAAGTTCTAAAGGTATGTTTGAACGTTTGGTGTAGTGTGTTGCTTGATCAGTTGCTATTAAGCAATGCTGATTAATTTTCTACTTCTTGTAGGTTTTAAAGGTTGAAGAGGGAATGACTCCTGAAATGTGAGTAAATAAAGACAATTTCTGTAAATTATAGCTGATATACTTATAGGTTTTCATATATAGATATTTTGGTTGTCTTATTTTCTCTCGCCGTTGGTTACTAAAATGTTAAAAGTGGGATCATAAGATAATACATTTGCCAATTAAGAAAGGTTATTAACTAATAGTATGAGCTGCGAATTTCCGCGTATGGCTGTATGACTTCACCTTTGACCCATTATTCACTTATGATATGGAATTGAAGAAGAAAATCAAGGTCAATGAAGATATACCCTCTTACGAGGTATAGTCTGATGATTTACAGAAAATAAATGATGATGATGATATATATCCTTGCAATCTCATTTCTCAAAATTACTTAATGAAAGCCCAAAATTTGTACCCGGTGTGAGGTGTCACATATGTGATATGTCTTATAAGGTACTTGAGATATAACAAGGCTAATTTTGGATTTCGATCAAGAAGATTATTTTTCCAGGGGTGACACTGTGACATATTAGCTTAATTCAAAATGGATAGCTACACCTTTAGTATTTGTGTTGGCAGCTTTCAGACAAGGATTCCAGCCTTTTGTTACTCTACAAGTGAATTTCTATGTTTTAGGTTTATCTGCCACAGTATGTTTTGAAAACTAACACTAGTGCTAATCAAGTAGCAAAGTGACCGGCTCCAGAAATTTCTGCATCTTTCTTTAGGCCCTTTGAATTACTTGTTATTGATATTATTATCTGTTACAGGCATTGGTTTTGTAAAATGGGTTGGGCTGGTTAAATACTTGTGGATATGCACATACATTGCGCGCACGGGTGTCTTAATGTGTTAATGCTCTGTACATACATTTATTAAGATCAAGACTATGTACCTTAATAGTTGATTTCATTCAGTACTTGTGATGTCTCCAAATTCCAGTTATAATTATATCTTACTTATTACAGATATGCTACTTCAGTTGTGCCGATTGGGGCCATGTTTGCAATGACTCTTTGGCTTGGAAATACTGCCTACCTGTATATTTCCGTTGCATTTGCACAAATGCTGAAGGCAATTAGTAAGTCATTGTAATTGTGATCCTGCATATTACTAATATGCTAAATTGCATGCTTCGTCCCTTACGTTTATTTTAGGCTTCAAGTTGGTCCCCTATGTTTAAGAAGTTTCTTACGCAACTGATGTCAGAATAGGTTTGTCCTTTTCGTCAATGTTAAATTAACTCGGTTTAAAACTTCCATGTGGCTATCAGGTCCACATTTAAGTGGATAATTAAATGGGAAAAAGATCATAAATCAGTTAGTAATAATTTAAATAGTAGAAAATAGGATTGGGGATAACTTTGTTTAGGGTTTTCTAAAACAAAGGAAGAACAGGAACAGAAAATACAGTAAGTTGCTCTATCGAAAACCAAGCAATCAGACAAGATTAAGGGGAGCTCGAGGTGAATATAGCTAAGTTTGAACAGAAACTCATGAGGTCTGCTGCTGAAAATAAGGCACTGTCAAGGTCCTTGCAAGAGCGGTCTAACATGCTAATCTAATTAAGTAAAGAAAAAGCTCCTGCCGAGGCTGAAATTGAGTATCTTAAGAGCAACATAGAATCGTGCAAAAGAGAAACTAATTCGCTGAAATATGAACTTCATGTTGCTTCCAAAGAGTTTGAAATTCGCAATGAAGAAAAGAACATGATTATGGGGTCTGCAGAATTGGCTACCAAGCAGGAAATGAAGGGTGTAAAAAAATTGCTAAGTTAAAAGCTGAGTGCCAAAGACTACTTGGATTAGTTTGGAAAAAGTTGCCTGGTCCGTCTGCACCTGCACAAATGAAGCTAGAAATTGAAAATCTTGGCCGAGAGCCTGTTTGTTACAACTTATTTTGTAAAAAATCACTTTTTGAAGCTTTCGTCTCTTTGTTAGAGATTCTTAAAAAAATGAGAATCCGAAAATAATCTAAAAACTGTTTCAAATGAGAAGCTGTTTTGTGTAGCTTCTCATAAAAATCATTTTCTATATGGTTTTTGTTTTGGTAAGCAAACAAAAGTTTATGCTTTTTACAAAAATCTCTTAAGAATTAATGTCTAAATTATTGAGCATCAAAATTGCTTTTCTTATAATCTGTAACAAAGGAATGGAGAAAGTCGATTAAGGAGATTTGGCTGGGGGAAGATTCAGAAAAATCCTAAACAAAATTACCCCCAATCCTATTTTCTACTATTTAAGTTATTATAAATTGATTTGTGTTTTTTTTAATTTAGTTGAGTTATCCACGTATGCATCCCTGTTAGCCAAATGGATGTTTTAAACAGAGTTAACTTAACATTTGACAGAAATGTCAAACTTATTCTGAGATCAGTAATGTTAGGGACCAACTTGAAACTTTTTAAATGTAGTGAACCAACTTAAAACCTAAAATAAATATAAGGGGCCAAATATGAAATTTAGCATATCAATAATAGTTAGGCATCTTTAGCATTTTCTTGTATCTAGTTGTCTACCAATGGTAAAGTTAATAGCTAAATGTGTATTGCGGCATTTAAAAGAATCAGATTTGTTGGTTTATCAACTTGCCCTGGCTGTGTACAGTTTATGATGATTGTATATTTGTATGCCGTACTTTTCCTCCAATACTGCAACTAACTGCACATTCTCTCTCGTTCTTTAAATGCAAATCACAGTGCCTGTGGCTGTTTTTGTACTTGGAGTAGCTGTAGGACTCGAGGTGATGAGCTGCAAAATGCTTTTGATCATGTCATTGATTAGTTTTGGTGTTCTAGTAGCTTCATATGGTGAGATAAATATAAACTGGGTTGGAGTAGTTTACCAAATGGGAGGTGTTGTTGGTGAAGCGCTGAGACTTATCTTCATGGAAATTTTTGTTAAGAGGAAAGGTCTTAAGTTGAATCCTATATCTGTGATGTATTATGTTAGTCCCTGCAGGCAAGTGTTCTTTTTATATTCTTACTTATTACTGTTAAATTTAAATGATTTGTGTGTAAACTGATGGCTTGAAAATAATTTTGAACTTTTCTGCAGTGCACTCTGCTTATTCCTTCCATGGATATTTTTAGAGAGATCAAAGATGGACGACCATGGAACATGGAACTTCCCGCCTGTTTTGCTTATCCTCAATTGCCTTTGTACATTTGCTTTAAACTTGTCAGTTTTCCTTGTGATTACACATACGAGTGCTTTAACCATACGTGTTGCTGGAGTTGTTAAGGATTGGGTGGTTGTCTTACTGTCTGCTGCTCTGTTTGCTGACACAAAGTTAACAACCATCAATTTGTTTGGCTATGGAATTGGTAAGTATCTCATAATGCTTAACCTTCTAAATTTTCCTTTCTCATTTGATAATCCCTTGAGGTTTTTTCGTAACATTTCTCTCAAATGCTATACTGTACTCAAAGGTATTCCACAATTCATGAAAATTGGGCAGTCCAGTATTAGGTGTTTCCCTGAAGCATATGTGCATATTAACATATATAAATCTAGCAAACAAATACTTGCCTTCATTATAGACATTGTTGTGAGCAAATCTTAGATCAATTAATCGTTGTGTTTCTCTTGTTTTTTTTAATCCCTTTATGTTAGGGCTGTGTGGTGAGTGATGTGTGTTGTATTCTATTTTGTTTATCAACATTATCAGTCTAAAAGGAAATAGTAGGTAACTTGGTTTCATATAAGTAATGTGTCAGATTTAAGTCTTGTGGATGTAACAGAGAGACACGTGCAGTGCACTTGGAGAGATTTATCCCTCTGGCTCTATGTGGGTTTACCCAGCTCAATTCAGACTAGTTAGGTTCCAAAGTGTTATTTAGAAACGAGTCTCAATTCATAAAGAAAATTATTGTGTCTGGTTATTATATTCACTGATGTACTAGTTTGGAGTGTGGAGACAAGTTTGTGGAGCTGATTAAATGTACGCAGTATGTTTGATTTTTGACAAAATATTCCTTAGAGAAAGTACAAATGCTGTACTCAAATTAAAAGTTTAGTAGTACAATATGCAAATATTAATTGTAAGGCTTTTGGATATGAAGCAGCTCTGTATCTTATTAAATGTGAACTAAGAAATATGAGCAGCTTCTGTAACTGTGAGTGCGGCTAATTGTTGTCGTAAACATTCATACAGCCATTGCAGGTGTAGCAGCATATAATAATTTCAAGTTGAAAAAGGAAGCTTCTAGAGACCCGTCAGATTCTCCCGTGGCTGATGAACCTACCCAAAAGCAGGAGTCTCGGCCTTTGATAAGTAGATAGTAGCAGTCTGAATTACTCAATGTATGTATATATAATATATTTGAATTTATCTCTTCCTTCGCACATTCTTGCTTCTTTATATAGTGTGATTCCTTTTATCTCTTTCAGTTGTTCATGTCCTATGGGAACATATAGTAGATAGCAACACAATTCTCAGTTCTCAGATAGTGTAACAAGAAGGTATCAAATGTTCATGTAGTGGATACATATATAAACAAGCGTTACGGAGTTCCTACATTATTATAAACCATTTCAGTGGAGAAAGTATTGTGCTAAATCAAATGTAATATGTGTAGATGTAATACACAAACTTTATCCTTTTAAATACAGGTGTTGAGCCACGACATTACAATTTTGAGGACTCTGAAGTTATCCCCAGTGATATATTTTTTTTGAAGCTATTACCGGTTTCAATCTTAGTGATTCGTTATTTCAATTTGATGATCAAGATTATGAGTCCAGGCATGTATATCATTTATTATATTGGACCTTGGGCTGCTGGTAGCCTGGGGTATATCCGCCATTCAAGGCACTGATAAAATCTTTGTAAGATTATTGTTTTTTTTTTAATGTATTTTGATAGTGTTTGGTTCAGTGTTGGGAATCTTTGCTCCTGTCGATTTTTTATCTAGGTGCTTTCAATGTTTCATCCTATTCCTATACTACATGTATTTGAAGCATACTTGTGCTTTGGTATCACTGTTTGATAATTTTGTTGCCTATATGATTTACTGTATTTGTAGCTTTGTGATAAAATGCTAGGCTGCCATATATCAAAGTATATTATGAATGTATAACTGTACAGCTTTTCAGTTAGTGGTTATCTCTGTTGGCTTAATTAACATCTGAACTCCAAATCCATTGCAGATAGTAACAAGGTTATTGATTTGCAATGCCACACTTAAATTTCTATTTGAGAAGATTTACTGGATTGCACTCCCACGGTTTTATTCAAGAAAAACCCACTGATCTCTCAACCCAAACCCGATACAACGATCCTATGTTTGGACGTTATCACCTCAATGATGCAGAATGCACAACAAAAATGGTTATGTGTATTTGTTGAGAAAATGCAAGAAAGAGGATGAAGATGATGAGAGAAAAATCAGTGTCTATTTTCACATTTCTTGTTATTGATGAAAGAATGAGCCAAAATAATATATATGTGAAGCTTGGACCAAATAACCAACATAACAAACATTTTGAAAGACAAACATAATAGAAAAGTAGAGTGAAATGAGCGAACGGTCGACCTAAAGAAAATGAGGGTCGATATGAGCTCTCCCGCTTTCAAAATTATGCAGAAATTGTCTCTTTGCATCGACCGGGACATGTTCATGCGTCGACACAAAATAGCCCAGTTTTGACAAATTGAAATGCTAACAGTATGAGTCGACCGGAGGGTCGAAGCAAGCTCTCCTGAGAGCAAATCATAAAAATTCACTCTGTATGAGTCAACCTAAGCAGGACTTTTAGTCGACTCAAAGGTTCAAAACTTGCAAAAATGCTATTTTTGACATGTCTTGCTATTTCTAAGCACTTCTAATGCATATCTAAGTCTACCAACATGAACAACTCACATAAAACATATATAATGCTTTTCTATATGAACAGACACATGTTTTTTTTATAAATGCTTGACACGAGAGAACAACGAATGCATATGCAACTTGATGATACCGTCCAAAGTACACATTACTAACTAGATGCGTTTTGACATCATTAAAACAAGTATTGAGACAACTTTCCCTCACAGAATGCATGGCTTAGACAAGGTGATATTGCCCAATACAGAAGGACGAAATATCCTAGTTTTTACATCATTAAAACATAGTAATAAGGAACCTTGCCCTCACATACCCCCCCCCCCCCCCCCCCCCTTTTTGATGATGGAAAAACCTTGCAAAACCTTCCCAAAGATTGAGTACTTGAGGGACATTATTCTCCCCCTGACTATATGCACTTATATAGAATTATGAGCTTTGTAAACTCGTTTTTGCTTTCTCACCCTTTTGACAACATCAAAAAGAGTAAAGCAACCAGTAATTTCTAAACATACCATACACATAACAACACAAACATGTGTTATTACAACAAATACGACATTAACAAACATCCACATGTAATGTTGTCAATGCAAACAATAGAGAGATAAATAACTCAAAAATGATAGAGAAATAATAATGCATTACACAACATACATAGTTCAATACAAGTCTTGAGAAAAAAAATAACAAAAAAATAAAACAAAATGCAACATGAGATGCAAGGCAACAACACAACTCAATAAACTATGGTCTTCAGCCCCTATAAGGTTGACCTCTCCCTCAGAATGAATGATCTTGATTTTCTCCGTGAGCATCCAGGTGTTCACACAGACCAAGGACACTTCTTTGAGAGTGTTGAAGCTCAGTGAGAGGGCACAATGCTGATTTGCTAAGGTTTCAGCCATTTGATCAAACCGACCCAAAACCCTTAATGCAAAGAGATCAAAATTTTCATTTTGAGCACGAATCCGTCCATGCATTGTTTCATATCATTGTTCTTGAAGAGCTGCAAAGTTTTGGTTCTCAATTTGCATACTTCTGAGCATTTCAAGAACGACCTAATTGTCAGTTGGAGGATTATTTGGAGAAGGAGGCACATATGAGGTGCCTTACTTAGACCAAGCATTTTATCGCCAAGTACCCCATCCTTGGTTATCCTTGGTGTCGTGAACCGGATAGTCACCCATCCAAGCATGATCATAATGACCTTCATAGGGAACCTCGGTATCCATTGGATGAGTTTCCTCATCTTCGTCTTGTTCTTCCTCTTCAGATTCATTTAAGTTTTGAATGTGTCCACTTGAACTCTTAGCCTTTACCACATAAGTTTTTTGTTGCTTGTCCCAGATGTATTCCATAAGAGTCATAGTCTTTTGACTAAACTCTTGGTCAGTGGTAAGAAAGATGTAAGGGATGTCAGACACAAAAATTCCAGCATGTTCTAATATAGTTTGGATCAACGATCCGTAGCATAATTCCGAACCTCTGCCGCTTTCTTTCAAAGCATAAAAGCAACTAGCAAAATAGTATGGCCAGTTTACCTTCTTATTGTTCTTGAGAAGATAAACCAAATGAACTTCGGATTGAACAACCCTTGAATAGCCACCTTTCTTTAGACGTAGAATGTGGGAGACAATCCACTGCAACATGCGATCCTTCCATTTCAACAAACCTGTTGTGACAGGCTTAAGGAAGACATAACTTGCGACTACTTCCTCAGGATAAGGATCCTTAAGCACTGAGTTCAACCCAGCCTTAAATTCATATTGTGGATCCAACTTAGTATCAGCTATATGAAGACCAGGAGAAAGGCGAGGACACATGTAAAACAAGTCTCGCCACATAGTGCTACCAACGTTATAACTTTTGCCCCCATATTGAAAGCAAACTCATACCCAATAAATTTATCCTTCAAACCTGCATAAAACATCCTAACCATATCTTCATTGTAATTTTTACTACATTCCAAAAAGGCATTAATATTTTGATGGTTTAGAATATCTACAGGAATATGTATCATGTCCGCTACCTTAGGGTAATATACATGTTGTTTAACAATAGATCATTTTCTAAAATCTTTCTCATATACTTCAGCAAGTTCAGAGGAAAGTAATGATAAAGCATTTATTGGAGTTTGAGAAGACGATGCCCTACCGAACCTTTTACCAGTCACTCTCGAAGTAGCCATTTGAGAAAAACCTTCTTTGTTTATGAAGATAGACAGTTTCCGTAGTAGAAGCAAGTGTAGAAAGAGAAAATTCTTCACAAATTTAGGTTTGCAACACTAATTTTGGAGATTCCTTGAAGAGGGTTTTGGAAGAGTTTAGAGAGTTGTGGAACATGTAAGAGACACAAACGAAGATGTAATACAAAACCACAAGCATGAAAGGTATTATTTTAAAAAAATTCAGAAAACACAAGCAATGCGTCGACCTTCAGAAGTTATGCGTCGATGCATGTGAATACATTTAAAATTTTTTTTAAAGCATCAGTATGACTCGACGCAAGGGGGGTGCATGATAAGCAGTGACTTTCAAGCTTGTGTTTTGATGACCATGAGTCTACCTACAGCCTAGACAGGTTGACGCATGCAGTTTAAAAAGAGAAAAAATAGGAAAAAATTTGATATAAATGATGCACAAAAACATAAACAACAAACCTATACCATTTCAAACATCAATATGGAAGAAAATTGGAAACAAAAACTATCATTTAAGCATCAAAATTGCACTCCACACATAATAGAAAACATCTATTTAGTCAAGATAAAGTAATTAGATGGGAACGATATTACCTCCAATGGTGATGAAAGAAGAATGCCCTCACATAGCTTAAACTTTCAAACATGGTTAAGCAATATATATACAAGCATATATAGAGAGCATGCAACAATTCATTAGACACTCCGAGATATCAAGAACACCAAGTTCCCTACGAATGTTAAAGAAGGGTTCTGTCGCGAGAGGTTTTGTAAAAATATCAGCGAGTTGATTTTTACTATCAACATGCTTGAATACGACATCTCCTTTTTCAACATGATCCCTAAGGAAGTGGTGTTGAATCTCAATGTGTTTAGTTCGTGAATGTAGCACTGGATTCTTGCTTAGACTTATGGCACTCGTGTTATCACAAATGAATAGGAATACAATGAAGTTTAACATCAAAATCGAGCAGTTGTTGTTTAAGCCATAAAATTTGGGCACAACAACTATCGGATGCGACATATTTCGCCTCGGCGGTTGACAAAGCTATGGAAACTTGCTTTTTGCTATGCCAATTGAATAAGGAGTTTGAAAAGAAATGACGCGTGCCACTAGTGCTCTTCCTATCCGATTTGCAACCGAAAAAATCGAAATCGAAATATCCAACCAAATTACAATCACTTCCCTTGGAAAACCAAAGCTCAAACTTGGATGTACCACAAAGGTATCTAATTATGTGCTTTACAACTTT